ACAGGTTTTTTTTTTTTAACTGCAGCTTTTACCCAGGAGGCACAAAAGTCATGCCTTCCTTGAAGCGTGTGACTTACTTCCACCATAGAATAAATTTTATCTGCCTTTACATACACTCTTCAAACTCTTCAGTGCGGTATTCTATTAGCACTCTCTTAGTCTCCAAAGAAAATAGTAGTATTTAAACTCTCCTAACAGTGTTACATTAGTCTCCAATGAAAATATAAATAAACGACATAAATTTTATTTACTGTGATGAGACAGAGGAATTAAAATTAAATACTTTTAAAAAGCAGCAAACCACACTGCCCTGTATGTACCTATGAAACAATCTTGCATGTTCTTCACAGGTACCCCAAAACCTAAAATGCAATAAAATATATTAAAAAAAAATTTTAAAAAAAAGTTGACCCAGGAAGGGAATGAGCATAATCAAGGGGCCAAGCCTGGACAAAGGAATAAAGGTAGTATAGGCCCTTGCCTATGAATTGTGTATACAATGTGATATCTAATGAACATATCAGAATTTATTTATCCAAACTAGTTATTTAGAGACAAGTATTTCCCAGTAATACTGCTTCTGCTCATAACGTTTTTGAGTCATCCATTTTTGGAATTATTTTCTAATTATTTGGTTCATCTTTCTAATTATAGGCAGTGGTGGCAGTCCTTGTCCTTTAGGATGGGTTTTTTTTTTTTTTTTTTTTTTTTTTTTTTTTTTTTTTTGAGATGGAGTTTCGCTCTTGTTACCCAGGCTGGAGTGCAATGGTGCGATCTCGGCTCACCGCAACCTCCGCCTCCTGGGTTCAGGCAATTCTCCTGCCTCAGCCTCCTGAATAGCTGGGATTACAGGCACACGCCACCATGCCCAGATAATTTTTTGTATTTTTAGTAGAGACGGGGTTTCACCAAGTTGACCAGGATGGTCTCGATCTCTTGACCTTGTGATCCACCCGCCTCGGCCTCCCAAAGTGCTGGGATTACAGGCTTGAGCCACAGGATGGGTTATTTTTCATTATAGCATCATAAAATGTAGATATTAGTGAAAAGCTAGGAAAAGTAAATTATCCGTTTTTAAGTCTCGTTTTCCTTGACCTTTCTGCAGCCTTTGAAAAGATTGACATTCTTTCCTTCCTTGCCTTCTGTGACAATATAATTTTTTTCCCTCTTTGATTTATTTTCATTTGTTGGGCCCATTGTACCCCCATACCTAAGGAATAATAAAATTCTGTTCTTGGCTCCCTGTTCTTCTACTTCTGTATTCACTGCCATGAAGAGCTCATGACTTAAATTACTACCTCATCAGAAATGATCCACAAACTTCAGAAACGATAGCTTCTCTTCTTTCCTGTCTTAAAATGCCAGTTGCCTTCAGTAGCATCTACTTCATGTATCCCAAACTGAACTCAGAATTCCATCTCTAAATCAGCCTTCATAAACGGTCCATATTAATATTAACTGCTTATATAATATATATATGTATATTCTATAGAATTGTGTATGGCATCTTTATGTTTCCAATTTAAGAATCTTACAGTTCTCATTCATACTTTATGACTTTTTGACCTCACTTTCAATCATTTACCCAATGTAACCCAAACTTTCCTTTTCAACATTTTTCCCGAATTTTCCTCATTTTATTCCCCTTCCTTATTGTCCATTTCTTGTCAACTAAAACATACCACACCTATAATGCTTTAGTAGCTTTCTGAGTGTTTCAGTTTCTTCTTTTTCTGGTTTATCCTTCATATTGCTTCTGGGACACTCATTTTCTTTTTAAAGTTGTATAGCATGATGTTATTCTCCTTACAAATCTTCAGTAAATCCTTAAGAGACTCTTTAGTTGCCCTTAGTATCAATTTGAACTCCCGAGCCAAGCATTCAGCCTTCTCATTTGATTGGGTACCTTATAGCTATAAAACTTTATCTGACCTTCAGAGTTTTAATTTGCATATCTTCAATTGTCACCAATGGGCATGTGACTCACGAATTAATATTTTCAGTTTGATGTGATAGAAGGTTGAAACTACTGAATCAAGTTGCTTGGTTTGGCTTCTATTCAAGTGAGTGAGCGTGAGTCAGAGATCTCTACAGTGCATGCAGGATGACACTTAAATATTGATAGAATTAAATTAATGGCTTAAACAGTGTTCTATCATTATATCACCATTTAAGAGTAGCTGTCTTTATTTTCCTAGATGAACATTTATATCACAGGTATAGCACATCCAGACAATTTTTTAATATTAGTTCTAGACACCTTTTTATTGTCTGTGTAAGATTCAAAATAAGGAAAATTTAGTGTCTTTTATAGCTGTAACCATTTGGGCTCACAATGAAAAACCTGATGGTTCCGCATGTTCTCACTCATAGGCAGGTGTTGAACAATCAGAACACATGGACACAGGGAGGGGAGCATCACACGCTGGGGTCTGTTGAGGGGGCTAGGGGAGGGACAGTGAGGGGTGGGGAGGTTGGGGAGGGATAATATGGAGAGAAATGCCAGATATAGGTAACAGGGGGATGGAGGCAGCAAACCACATTGCCATGTATGTACCTATGCAACGATCCTGCATGATCTGCACATGTACCCCAGAACCTAAAGTACAAAAAAAAAAAAAAAAAAAAAAAGAGAAAGAAACCTGGTGGTTGAACTGAATGTTTTTGCATCTGTTTAGCTGTTCAAAGTAGAAGTAAATAAACAGTCATTTGGCACTTGTATCATGTAGAAGATGGGGAAAGACCTAAACCTATTGTAACAAACATGGAGTATATTTTATTCAAGTCATTAACATTCTAAAACACATGGTTGATATTAAATGATGGAGAAAGTATTTATGATCTCAGGATTGGTATAAGGTACAGAGGGTGAGATGATAGTTTTATTTCTCTCTTCCCTTTCTCTGCCTTACTCTTATATTGGTTACAGTCCTTTCCAGTACACCTGTAATCACATTCACTATTTTTTTTTTAATTGGAGATATTTCTTTTTTCCCTGTCTCCACACTTTTTTGGAAATAAGTTACCCATTTGGAAGGCATATAGTTGACAAATTTGAAGAACATCTACAGAATACTTGGACTTAAGAAAAAAGTAGAGTTAAATCTCAGGAATTTGACCATGTAAGAATTCTTTTTTTTTCTTTTGAAGCAAGAATAATCTTTATTCCTTGGAAAAACTTTTGTAAAAATGCTACCAATAAGATGAAAAGATTCAGAACACATTTATTTGTATGCAGCACATACACTGAGAATCAGAACGTCTGCTAAAATGGAATACACCTGTAAACAAATGCCTTAGGGAAGGAAAGCTTATAAGTGGTCAACTCTGCTGTGCAAGGTACACAGCTGATTACCTTCTTTCTGAATAGATTTTTGCAGTAGCCAAAAAGATCAGATTTTAGTAATAAAATATCTCAAAGGATGTCAAACTTTTTTTTTTTTTTTTTTTTTTTTTTTTTTTTTTTTGAGACAGAGTTTTGCTCTTGTTACCCAGGCTAAAGTGCAATGGCGCGATCTCGGCTCACCACAACCTCCGCCTCCTGGGTTCAGGCAATTCTCCTGCCTCAGCCTCCTGAGTAGCTGGGATTACATGCACGCACCACCATGCCCAGCTAATTTTTTTGTATTTTTAGTAGAGACGGGGTTTCACCATGTTGACCAGGATGGTCTTGATCTCTTGACCTCGTGATCCACCTGCCTCGGCCTCCCAAAGTGCTGGGATTACAAGCTTGAGCCACCGCGCCCAGCCTGGATGTCAAACATTTTTAAAAGGGCTTAAAATGGGTAAAATTACAATTACATGAATAAAAATGGCACAAGAATCAACTGATTTCACAGAAATACTAATAAAATATTTCAGGTCTATTCATTCAGAGGAAAAAAATGTTTGACTCAGGGCTTGAAATGGGGGAAATAAATATTTTGGTACAAGCTTTAACCTAAAAGACAACATACTGATTTCTGATTCTACAAACAGACTGGGGCAACACCCATCGTATCCTACTCTACAGAATGCTTTGGCACAACTTCAAGAAAACCTTATGTGCTTTCATTTGAGCCATAAATGATCTCAATTGCACAATGCTTTTTAAGAGTGAAGTCTAGGGTAAAAACCAATCTCCCAATTCTGACAGCATGTATTCACAGTTATGTCTTCTGAAATCATGCAAGTTAGCAGCACCAATCATTAAGACATTAAAAATTATTCTCATACTTGAGCAGCAAATTCTATCAAAACAAATGCTATGCAATTTAAGATTAGTACAATTGCTTAAATTCCAAGTAGCTCAACTGCTTTAAGATATAAAATTCAAAGTCTCCCTGTATTTATATAACATTTAATAAGTTATATAGTTTATTTAGCTTCTGAAAGGAGTAACTCTGTCAAGGGAGTGGGTATTGCAGTTTTCCTTATGATAAAATTAGTTTGAATGTATGTCCTCAGCCTAAAAAAAAAGATTTAAATGTTAACAAATTGCAGAATTGTAGAGTTGGAGAGGACCTTGAGATCACTTAGTTAGTCCAACCATCTCTTTTCAGACCGGGAGAGTGAGGTCAGTGAAGAGACAATAACTCGTCCAGGCCACACTATGGCGGAAGCTGGACCCTAGCAATTTCAACTCCTACCACAGCAATGTATGCTGAGCTGTCTTCCCAAGTGCTTCTGGTTTTATTTGGTCCCATTAATGAAATAACAAAGAATATGAGGCACACAGTGATATGATAAACATAGACTTTGACTCCAATTTTAAAATCAGAACATCAAAATGATTCCTGAGAATTTAACTGCCTTCATTTTAATGAGAATGCAGTCAACAGGAAATTATGACAAGCTACCGTGGTCTTATCTTCAAATATTTACACGGACACTGAAAACACCTCTCAGGACTACTCCTTAAAGACCCTCGTAAAAACACATCCATTTATGTGAGGCCAAGACATTTTTCATGGAATGCAGTGAAACTATGAAGGTGAATGGAAGAGAGATGCTTTAGTCTCTCAAAGTGCAGTCATGAGTTTATCTCGATACATCACACTCTGCATCCCTCCTAAGTTCTTCTGGTTCTGGTTCTGGACATAATCAAAATGGCTGTCATCTCCACTGGCCGACGCTTTCCAATGCGACCCGTCATCCTGAAAGGATGGCCTGACATTTGGAGAGTGAGGATGCCACCGGGGCTGGCTGGGGTGGATATTAGGATGATACTGAGGCTGGTAATTTTGGACTTCTGGATTTGTTTTAGAGCAGAGCTGGGCTGCTATCACCGGGTTGCTTGCTTTGAACGTTGAATGCCTCCGGGACGGATAACGTTTACTAGGCTTCCTCTCAAACGTGCTGGTTCTTCGTAACCTGGAGCCATGTGTCGCTTGACATTTGTCCGCCCACTGAATCTGAAGCGAGAGCCCAACCTGATAAAGTCGGATCTATTGGATTTGCTGTTTCCCGGTGTCCGCAGTCGGAAGAACTCGTGGTGTTCAACTGCACACTTCCAGAGTTGTTCGCAGGTCCTGGCACTGTCTAACCGGAACACAAACGTGTGCTCTTGCTCACGTCCCTGATCATCATCCTCGACAACCACGAGTGTCAATTTGCTCTTTTTAAAATCCATTTTGGTAATTTTAGGCCAAAACAATAAGCATATTTTGTTAGCTCCTTCAAAGATTAATATGTCTGTCGGGGTCAGTCCAAAAGAATATTCATAGCCATCTCTTCCCCTGACAACGTGCATGTCTACCCCATACATTTCCAGCCACTTCGCTTTATTCAAATAGGAGAGTTCCGCCTGGGCAGGGCTCTTTCCCCTGCACTCTTTCCATCTCTGGAAGATATCAAATTCCATAGCTTCTGTCTGATTTGGAATGAACCGAAACTCAGACACGAGCTCCGGTGTGTGCTCTGAAAGCTCGCACTCCCCAAGCTCCGCTTGTAGACAGAGAGCAGTTAACTCCACAGCTGTTTCATAAGGGCATTTCAAATTTCCACAAAGAATGTCATGCCTGAGTTGTAAAACAAACAGGTACCTTGTAAACTCCTCACGAAGGTTGTTTGGTTCTGAAGAATAGTATTTAACTCGAAAGTGCAAAGCATAAGCAGGTCCTATTTTCATCTGCTTTTTTTTTTTTTTTTTTTTTTTTTTTTTTGAGACGGAGTTTCGCTCTTATTACCCAGGCTGGCGTGCAATGGCGGGATCTCCGCTCACCGCAACCTCCGCCGCCTGGGTCGAGGCAATTCTCCTGCCTCAGCCTCCTGAGTAGCTGGGATTACAGGCACACACCACCATGCCCAGTTAACTTTTTGTATTTTTAGTAGAGACAGGGTTTCACCATGTCGACCATGATGGTCTCGATCTCTTGACCTCGTGATCCACCCGCCTCGGTCTCCCAAAGTGCTGGGATTACAGGCTTGAGCCACTGCGCCCGGCCTTCATCTGCTTTTTTATTGCTTTGGAATGATCCAGCCAGTGCGCGACCTGGGCAGAGCCAAGGAACTGGAGGCCAAAGTACGTGATCTGTTTCCCCAAGGTCCAAGTGGTACATGATCTGATCAAACAAATCCTGGCCTTTGGCATGTTTCGGCAGGTCCACACTCACTTCGATCCCGTCGAGCAGGAAGACGCGGCAGTAGAGGGTGGCCTTGGCGGCGCCGGCGGCGGAGATGTGCACGGCCGCGCCACCCGTGAGCAGGGGCCCGCCGCCCGCGGGGAATACGCTGCCTCCCCGGAGCGGCGGGCAGCGCCGAGGAGGCGGCGGCCGGCCCCCTCGGGGACTCCCGTGGCGCTAGTCCCCTAGCCCGGCGGCCCCCGCGCTGCGCCGCGCCAAGCGCGTTGCGCTGCATGGAGCGGCGGCCAAAGGTCCCAAGAATTCTTAATATATTACTTAGAATGGCCGAAGTTTCCTTGGTATCCTCCTTGGGAAGAGTTTGCTAAGTGAAACAAAAAATAGTAGATTGAATAGGGATTATTTAAAAAAAAGAAAACTATGGCAGAGATAGTTCATTTTCAAGTGTTTTAGCCATAGCTCGTCATATATAAGCAATGAGTGTACTATCCTATATTGCGTAATACACATAGGATTTTATAAAACTGAGGTTCTTTTTGAATAGGTAATGCATGCATGTGTCAAGAAACACTACAAAAGGGCATGACATACAAAGGAAACGTTCCTTCCATTGACCTACCAGTTTCCTTTGATTGAGGTTACATGTATTTGAGGTTGCGTCACTTCAGTTGTGAGCACCTGTCTTGCTAATTAACTGACTAGCCTGAAAAGAGACTGGTTAGAGTACAAGAACGAGTGCAGGGTCTTGTCTTCCTGATACAGGTGGGGGAAATCCTATTTGCAGTAACTAGATAAGGGCAAGGATAGGGCATGACCCAGATTTCTGCAAAATAGAAGGTTGACATATGCTAGATAGACTCAAAACCTTTTATTATGACAATTGTAAATGAGCTACAGCTGATTGTTAAAGCAGTCCTTCTTAGCAACTTTGTTCGGTCTCAGATATGACTATATGAATCTACATTCTATACATAAAAATCTTCCTTCCTTTTTTTTTGGGGGGGGGGTGCAGCTGTTCTTTGTTTCAGGGAGACAGCAGGGGAGGGGGCTCAGTCTTTCTTGGCAGCAGCTTTCCTCTTGGCGGCCGGGATGTTGCTCAGCTCCTCCCACTTCCTCTTGGCCCGGATGTGCGTCCCCACCCTTTTCTTGATGAACTTGAGGGCTCGTTTGTCCTTGGAGACCTTCAGCAACTCCATGGCGCGCCTCTCGTACGTGGCAAAGCGCGCCGCTCGTACGTGGCAAAGCCACACACCTCCCGGATCATGTCCCGCACGAACTTGGGGTGTTCGGTTAGACGCCCGCGGCGGCGGCTGTGCCTGGGCTTGCTCACGTTCTTGGTTACCTTGTGGCCCTTGTTGAGGCCCATGGCCATAGGATACCGAAGAGCCATGGCTGCTACTCTCCAATGGCGACCGTCCAGGAAGCATAAAAATCGTTCATTATATTCAGTGAGTATTTCCTATATTCCCAAATAAGCAAATCTATATATACTTATCAAATACGAAATTAAATATGCGAATAAATAATCCAGCAATAAGATTTTTTTTTAGGAATGATGGCAACCACCATTATATGTATTATTGATTTCAAATTTGATACAATATTTAGTTGAGCATATATGGACAGACTGTGACTGCCAAATATTTGCATGGAGATATGTTTTTGGGAAATATCAATAAAAACAAAAGTTTCATATTTGAGAGATAAATGTTGTTTATGGATACCTGTTCGATAGTTTGTATTTGTGATGACAGTTATTAATTGAATGCTGAATAGAACAAAATTCTGCGCCAGAGACTTTTTAGGAGGGATTTGGAAAAATTAATATAGTTAATTAAGAGGCAGACATCACAATTATATAGCAGGAGTTATAAACGTTGAAAAGAAACAGGAGCCAGGTGCGGTGGCTCATGGCTGTAATCCCAGCACTTTGGGAGGCTGAGGCAGGTGGATTACTCAAAGCCAGGAGTTGGATACCAGCCTGGCCAACATTGAGAAACCTACCTCTAAAAATACAAAAAAATAGCTAAGCGTGGTGGCGCACACTTGTAATCCCAGCTACTCGGGAGGCTGAGGCAGGAGAATCGCTTGAACCCGGGAGATGAGGTTGCAGGGAGCTGAGATAGTGCCACTGCCATCCAGCCTGGGTGACAGAGCGAGACTTCATCAAAAAGAAAACTAAGAAAGCAGGAAAGCAAGTAACCAAGCAAGCAAGCAAGCAAGAAAACAGGAGTATAATAACTATATGGGGAATCATTTTTTTTCAATATGGCATTGAAATACCAAACTTTACCTTTCAATAATGCATAATAAAAGAAGCGTACAATAAAACAAAAAGTACAGAAATGTAAAAATGAAATAAACATAGCAAGTAAAATGCTGTATCAGCTGTTATAAACATCCTATTTGAAGAAAAATAGGTTGACTTGCAAAATACTGCGCTCCGTTCTACTTTTCTATTCTTAACCTAATTGGAAAATGATTATGCATCAGGACATATATGTATTAAATAAAACAATGACCTATTAAGGAAGTTATGAGCATGCTGTAAATTTATTATTAATAAAACTATGGAAAATGTCACTTATCACATCTAAATGTTTACTATGATAACTTCGGACAGTGATAAGTAGGAAAGGAAAGATTTATTTATTTGAATAGTACACTAGAATTTCAGGGAACATAGCAATACACATATAAAATACATACACGGTTGGTTAAGGGAATAATCTAATCTGGCAGTGAAATATGGGCCTGGATTTGAGAGGTACAGAGAAAGAATTAAAACTATAGAAATATTGAGATAATTGGTACCTGTATAACTGATAAGAAAGAAATACTAGTACTTAAGAAAAAAGAAACAAACATTTTATCATTAATAACATTATAAAAGAAATCAGGTAGATCATGACAGTAGGATCATGTAGCAAGCTTAATAAGCAAAGAGATTAGAAATTGTAGGCAGAGCGAATAAGGATAACAAATGCCATGTAATAAAAACTTTGAGGTTACATATCCACAGAATGGGGTCTGATGGTTATAAAAGGCCTTCAATTAGAGAAGCTCTATTACATGCTGGGCTTGCAGGTAGGGTTGCTTAAATGTCTCCTCTCCTGCCTTGCAGTTGCTCTATCTTTATCATTCATTCTATCTATTTACTTTAGTCCAATTCCCTCATTTTACAGATGAGCAAAATGCAAAAGACAAGGCTAGTGATTGCCCAAGGTCTCTCAATTAGTATAAGGAATAGGCTTGAACATCATACTGTATATTACAGCTACGATAATGTATAAAGCAAAGAAACCAAGAAGGTTATATGAGTTTTTGGTACCTCAAGCTTATTTAAATTTGAAAAGTTACTTGATTTAAGTTTTCTTTGATAATTTTATTTAAAAGATTTATTAATAAATATTTTCCATGTTACAGAACTGTTTTGTGCTACCTTTAGTGATTATTATTTAAATAGTCTCCTCAAAAACAACTATTGAATTATCTATTAATTTCTCCTCAATAGTGATAAAATTTTTCTCTAAAATTTGTCATAAGAAGCAGCTCTTCTCATTATTGACAATCAGTGAACTCCTACTGTATTGACTGACTTTTAGGTAACGGTTATTAGCACTATCACATTTATTCTATGGTATAATGCTTTCTGATTATTCTGTATATTCAAGTGTAATGATTGTTGGTAAAACTTGTGTATAATTACATGAATTTTAAAGAACCATAAAGCACAATTCTGTGGATCACAAACTGCAGTTTGTGAAACTTTGAAATTCTTAAGGGCTTCTACTGTCCCAAACCCCACTTTCTTTTTTTCTTTTTCTGATTTCCCATTGAGATCTGCACATTATATAAGTTGAGATTTTAATAAGGACAATTTATTTTTATTGTTTGTATTCTACAATTTACAGCTTAAAATCCAATTTTATTAATAATAATCACTGTTTATGCTTAAAGGGAATACTTCCATAGCTCCACCAATCCTGAATCCTTACCCCTCGGTTTTAATTCCTGGAAATGTGATAGGAGAATAATTAAAGAAATACACACAGGGTTGATCTTCTCTCATTTCTTCTTTGATATCCTGATAAAGCCTAGGAAATAGTTTGAATGTCCACCAAATACAAATGATAGAAGATGTCTGATCCATTTTTATGGCTTTCCTTTTAATACACTATTTTAGTAATAAATGACTATGACTACTAAATGTTAGCTTTCTAAAGAAACTTGTATACAGACTCAGAATGTGAGTTGATGCATGTAGAATATTAGGTCTGTATTTATGCATTACCATTAAGTGCTAACACTTCATAGGAAATAGATTCACTTGGTATCAATTGTCCAGAAGAGGTTTATGGTCTCTAGGGTATTTTCCATGTAATTTTTTCTTTTTTTTTGAGACGGTGTTTCGCTCTTGTTACCCAGGCTGGAGTGCAATGGTGCGATCTCGGCTCACCGCAACCTCTGCCTCCTAGGTTCAGGCAATTCTCCTGCCTCAGCCTCCTGAGTAGCTGGGACTACAGGCACGTGCCACCACGCCCAGCTAATTTTTTGTATTTCTAGTAGAGACGGGGTTTCACCATGTTGACCAGGATGGTCTCTATCTCTTGACCCTGTGATCCACCCGCCTCGGCCTCCCAAAGTGCTGGGATTACAAGTGTGAGCCACTGTGCCCGGCCTCCATGTAAGTTTTTTCTATTATGTTGGTTTAGTGCAAAAAAACTGTGACCAAACCACTTTTTAAAAACGTTTATTTTAGGTTCAGGAGTACATGTGAAGGTTTGTTATATAGGTAAGCACGTCACGGGGGTTTATCATACAGATTATTTCATCACCTAGGTATTAAGCCCAGTACCCAATAGGTATGTTTGCTGCTCCTCTCCTTCCTCCCACCCTCCACTCTCAAGTAGACTCCAGTGTCTCTTGTTCCCTTCTTTGTATGAACAATGCTTTTAAATAATAATGATCGATAAGTTGAAACATGAATGATGGAAATAATTATCTATTTTAACAACATTATATTATATATAATGTAATAAACCTGTGCATATGTACATTGAAAATATTTTCTCCCATTACATAGGTTGTCTTTTTACTCTGTTGATTGTTTTCTTTGATAAGCAAAAGCTTTTTAGTTTACATATGTGAGTATATGTATACAAACAGCTTTGAGGTATAATTGTTATACAAAAATTGGACGTATTTAATATGTACAATTTGATGGATTTAAACACATGTACTCATGAAACCATCACCACAATCAAGATAATAAATTTAGCCATTACCTGCAAAACTTTTCTCCTGGCCAGGCACGGTGGCTCACACCTGCAATCCCAGCACTTTGGGAGGCCAAGTCGATTGGGATCATTTGAGGTCAGGAGTTTGAGATCAGCCTGACCAACATGGTGAAACCCTGGCTTTACTAAAAATACCAAAAAAATCAGCCAGGCATGGTGGCACATGCCTGTAGTCCCAACTACTCGGGAGGCTGAGGCAGGAGAATCGCTTGAGCCTGGGAGGTGGAGGTTGCAGTGAGCCAAGATTGCACCACTGC